GATGTTGAACATTTTTTCATATGCCTGTTGGCCATTTGCATTTCCTCTTCAGAGAAGTTTCTTTTAAGCTCTTCTGCCCATTTTTTGACTGGATTATTTTCTTTGTTGTTGTTGAGTCTCATCAGCTCTTTGCAGATTTTTGTGATCAGTCCTTTATCATTAGTGTTGGGTGCAAAAATGTTCTCCCAGTTGGTGGGGTTTCTCTTTGTTTTTGTTATTGTCTCTTTTGCTGTGCAAAAGCTCTTTAATTTGATGTAGTCCCAGCTGTTTATCTTTGCCTTCACTATCACTGCTTTGGGTGATGTGTCTGTAAAGATGTCTTTGATGTGCAAATCACGTAGTGTTTCGCCTATATTTCCTTCTATATATTTTATGGTTTCAGGTCTTATGTCTAGTTCTTTAATCCATTTTGAGTTGATTTTTGTGTATGGTGTGAGGTGGTGGTCAAGCTTCATTCTTTTGCATGTAGCGACCCAGTTTTCCCAGCACCATTTATTGAACAAACTTTCTTTGCTCCAATGCATATTCTTTGAAAACCAGATATTTTAATCTAAAAATGTAGTAGCTCTGAAACTCAGATTCTTTCTTCTTTCCACAGGGTTTGCTGATTTTTTTTTTTTGGTTGTTTAAGGTTGTATAAGGTATATATTAATGTATATATTAAAGTCTTGTCAGGTATATTTTAAGCTTGCATATTTTCATGAACCTGTATGGTGACTTGAAATTTGCCCACATATGTGGTTTCTTTTTAAGGTCCTAAAATTTTACATGTATTTCTCCCAAAAATGAAAAGAAGAAAAATGAAGGGAGGAAATGAAAAAGGAATGTCTTTTTAATCCTCCTGGAAGTTGCTTCATCTTGGAGGGAGGGGTTTGCATTGTGAAGAAGGGTGCTACAATGACCACCTGTCTTATGTTTCTGTACCTCCAAGATGAGAAGTAACAATCACAAATAGTCAGGTTTTGGAAAATAAGATCTTTATTATCACATAAGGGGTTAGAGGGGATTAGTATCCACTGCCATGCTAGGAGCCAAATTAGCTGACATTAGCAGTTTACTATCCAAGTATGCCCCCAGAAGTTTTTAACCTTAAGATAAACTCCAGAGTTCCAAAATAGGTGCACTAGCTAGATTCTGTCAGTACAATTATTTTCTTTGTGGGGAGACAGATTCCTGAGGCTTCCTGCTCTGCCATCTTCCCAGAATCTACGTTCTTCAGTCTAGATGCCTCTAGATGTGGAGATAGGGTTTTCATTGAATCCCAGTACAATGTCATATACATAGTAAGTATGCAGTAAATATAGCTGACAGAATTATTATTTGCTATTCCATGGAAATACATTCAAAGAATTAGACTACCTGTGCTTGTGTCCTATCAAGTTTTGTTTGATAAGGAGGCAATCTTTGGCTAAGGCTAAGTCTTTGACTTAGCCTGGCTTTTATGCTACCTGTCTCAGCATCAAAATGACACCTAATTCTCATAAAGTATATTGATAGTTTCTCTTCATCCATATTCTCCCAAGGGGATCTGCTTCAGTTCAGTGTTACCATGGAGTCAGGACGTGAGACTCAGTAGCCTAACAAGTTCCTTTGGTATGAGAAAATTCTAGTTGCCTACAAGTAAAAATGATTGTATGATCATGTACATCCCAGAATGACTGAAACCCTAGCTAGCCACTTGTTAAGACTTAGCCGAAGTCAAAGACTTAGCCTTAGCCAAAGGTTGCCTCCTTATCAAAACCTGATAGGACATAAGCGCAGGTAGTTTAATTCTTTCCATGGAATCGCAAATAATAATTCTGTTGGCTATATTTACTGCATACTTACTATGTATATGACATTGTGCTAAGTACTGGGATTCATATCTAATCTTGTGTGACTCTTGAATTTGGATGTTTAATCATTGCATGGGTCAGTCTCCTAGAGATATTCCTCCGTCAATATTTAGCATATACACTATGTGACAAAAACTGCCAGTTTTCTAGCAAAATTAATTTTCTTCTTCCTGGGAATATGGTTACCCAGGTGGATAATGTTTTCCAAATTACTCTTTGGCTAGGTTTGCCCAAGTTACTATTCACCAATGGAATGTGAGAAATACCAACATCACTACTAAGAAGGAAATCTCTTTCCTAGGAAATCCACTCTCTTCCTCCACTAGTGCTTACCACCCAGCTAGGCCATGCCCACCAAGATAACTCCCTGGAGATGCTGGAGGAACAAAATTAAAGGGACCTGGATTTCTGGATTCTGAATATAAGAGCAGAGCCCTTGCCAAACCTGGGGCTATTAATGACAGAGAAATAAGCTTCCATGTTCTCAAAGCCACTATATCTTGAAGCATGTTTGTTGTAGTAGCTAAAACAGTATACTAGACAGCTTGCATTTAGATGATCTGTTTCTTCCTTATTAGGGAGAGAAGTCCTTGAGGGCAGGGATCTTGCCAAATTCGTGTCCCTGGGTATTTCACCTGGCATAGAGGTTGGGATATAGCAGGTACTCTAGAATGAAAGCACTTGTTAAATAAATGTTAATTCCTATATTATTACAAAAAATGCCAATGAGAAATGTTGGAGCATCGAGCATGAATGCAGGCATATCTGAAAAAGGATAAAGAATTGGTCCTCAGCAAGAATTGGGACTAGGATGCAGGACTAAAGCATTCTCCTGGCACTGGAGGGATGTAGCTTCAGTTTGGTTGATTTCACACCAGAAGTGTTCTTGCAAAGGCTTAGCTAGTGGGACCCTGTGAAGGCCATTTCATAACTACCATGGTGATTAAACCACAGGATGCTGCAGAGTAGCTTCCTAGCTCTTTTCTCTATCATGTTTCCTTGGTCAAGATTCATCCGGCTTTAAATTTGGGAAGGCAGGAGATGGCAGTCCTACTGTCCATCAGTATCATCTGTCCCCATCTTAGAGCTGCCAGAGTGACAGCTGGGGAAAAGCAGGATCAAGTTGACTGGCAGAATGTTTTACATCTAATGAGTTTGTGCACAATAATAGTATAATAAATAAGGCTCTAGAGGAACTTGGTTATCGCTTGCATTCCAAAAGTGAGATATGGCCTTACCAGAAGCTCACAGAGCCATCTGTCATCAAATATTAGTCTTTGTGTCAATGGCTGGACTGGCCTGAGGAAATGGAAAACATCAGCAGAGGGAGGCAAATGACAACACCATGTCGTTCAAAAAGATTTAAAGGGAGCTACCTTAAAGAGTCAGAGATTTCCAGAAGATGTAGAAATATATAAAACCACTACCAAAAGCAGTTAGACTTGAAATCTTAGCTGCTGAATGCTGATGAGTCTTTCCATTGAATGAGTGCAGTTTCTGTCAGTCAGGGTAAGTTCTTGAGTAATATAATCCTTATCTGTTTGAATTTGGGGCTGGAATTATTGCAATCTTCTTTAATGTGTTTTTTGCCAGTTTGATACATCAAAATCTGATTGTCACTGAAGCACTCTGCTGATGACAGAACTGCTAGTGACAGGAATACTGAAAGTGGATGAAAGCTTGAGAATTGGATAAAAGTTGTTAGGATTTGTGGTTGTTTGACTTCCTCGTCTTTTGTTGAGGAAAAGAAGGGGAGAAATCACAAGCTGTCACAAATAGAGAATTGGGCCTAAACACAACTAAATGCTGAGTGTCTCAAACACCTGGTAATGGGGCAGAGTCTGGGAGGACACAGGCAATGGACCATTTAGAAATATGGGAATTAGAAAAGCAATACATGAGATGAAAATTTTAAGGATAGCCAGTCCCCAATGGGGACATGGAGATGTAGGTGGTTTTTGGTGCCGTATCTGCGTGTGGCCTCAGCTTACGTTGGGTTTATTCATGTGATTTACCATTGTTGATGGGAGGCCCTGGATTGGCCTCTTTTGGGAGTTATGAGGATGGTTTGCCAGAGACAGAGTTCAGGGAGGTTGACTTTTGATGGTTCAAACTCACAAAAATAACCTCCGGATTTAGAACAATTCTCTCCAAGTATATTCCAGGACAAGTAATGGTAGACGTCTACAGGTGATATGGTAGAATGAGGTCACCATCTACCCTAGCCCCTTGTTGTAGGCTTTGCTCTACTGCAGATTCTGGAAAGCTAATGTCTCTATTTTCTACATTCCCTTGCAGTAAGAGCCTATGGTGATTTAGTCGGTTCTAAAATCAGGTGTACTTGTGTTGATTTGGGGAGTTGGCTCATTAAAGTGGTCAGACATGGGGAGTTATTTTTAAATGGGTAGAGAGTTTCAGTTGTACAAAATGAAAAAAATTCTGGAGATGGGTGGTAATGATAGTTACAAACAATGTGATTGCAGCTAATGCTACCAAACTGTACTCTTAAAAATAGTTGAGAAGTTAAATTTTATGTTGTGTATTTTCGTTTGCACACATACAAAGGAAAATATGGCCAATAAAGTAACTTAATGCTTTCCTAAAACTCATTCACATATAACGTACCTCTTTATAAATCACTTTTAAAAAAAGATTTTTATTTATTTATGCATACAAGAACTGGGGTATAGGCCAGAGGTTTGGGAGGTGAGAGGATTCACCAGAGACAAATTGGGGAGCAGAACAGGCAGATTGACCGAAATACACTGCTGAGGGGAGCAGTGGGTGAGACAGGAGAGGTCTGCTGCACCATGTGGGTACCTCCCTGGCCAGCCAGGGATAGAACTCAAGCTGCAGAGGCTGCGGATAGCTTCATAGTGCTGTGCTTAACCGCTTGCACTACCAGAGAGGCCCTATTTCAGCTTTTTAATAAGTTTCAAAGTTGGGAATTGTGAGTATTCCAATTTTGTGTTTCTTTTCAAAGACTGTTTTGGGTATTCTGAATCCCTTGAATTTCTATATGAATTTTAGGATCACCATGTGAATTTCTACAAAGAAATTAGCTTGAATTTTAATGGGTGTTTTATTCACAACTTTGCTTTTTGATACACATAAAAAGGAAAATGCCAGGTAATAGTTAAATCATGAAATTTCACTTGAATAGCAAAGTGGTTTCAAATTTTCCTACTAAACAGAAGTCATAAAAGGATATGTTTATTTTGGACATCACATATGAACACCAGCTTTCAATTTGTTCAAAGTTTTTATTTCCAACAGACATTACAACTTGTTAGTCATAAAAATCATCAAAATCATCAGTGGATGTGTTATGGTTTCTAGGACGTAAAGCAGCTTCAATTTCTGAGTTACTGTCATCAGACTCACCCCAGAAGGCTGGAAGAGAAAACCAGACAGTTATTTAACATTTCTGCACTCTGATTAGTTTGGTTTAATCAGCAGACCTGGTTAATTGGAGTACTTGTGGGCAAAAGGTTACTAGGGACACCACATGATGTGTCTGATCAAATACATCTGCAATGCAGGTCCACAATACACCAATCTATACATTTCACAGTGTGCTCTGTACATTGTTAAAGAAAACACTTTGCAGAATACCTCCTTTTCCCTTCTATTGTGTCCTGCTCTTTATTATAGAATAGGGATTTAAAATCAGGATTAACACAGAGGTAGGGTTACCTGGGGGTGTTTAATCACCTCTGCTGCTCCTTCACTCTGACCTCCCTTGGTCTTTATAAGAGAGGGCCAAGACAACACGGTGGAGGGGTAGTAGTGAGGTTTATATTGAAACAGAGGCTCAGGTATACATGGTTTATTTGGGAAATGATTTTGAGGATGATGTGGAGGGGCTGGGAGAGTGATGCAAGGAGAAAGGAAGCCAGGAGAGGAGGTACTGAGTGGGCTGGCAGTGGCAGTGGGGCTCAGACATGTAGGGGTCCTCTGAGAGACATTAACTCTCTTCAGATTGTCTCTGAAGAATAAGGAACTCTCATTTCTCATTGGCTAAGGGTTTTTCTCAACCAGGGCATCAACTTTCTGGCACTTTGGGCTGCCCTGGGAGGGTGAGTATGTGCCATGTCTGCTGAAAGCGCTCAGGGAGAGGCCTGATGTAGAAGGCCATGGGCATGCCCATGAACTACACTGAGGTGACATTCAAGGTGATTCAATAAGATGTGGTGGGCACACTGTCTGTGACATTGACATCTCCATGATTACTGATAACAACATGGCAGGCTTTGTGATGACTTCTTATGTGTGACCCTATTTAATCCTTGTACCAACTTTTTAAGTTAGATAAGTATTAACTAATGTCCTTGTTTACTGAGCAGATCGAGGCTCAGAGGGGTAAGTGACTGCCCACAATCACAACATTAGGGGATGGCATCAAGTCAGGACCCACATCATCTGACTCACACCCACATTCTCAATTACAGTCCTTTGGAATGGGGTAGCATTTTCCCTGTGAGCTGGTGTTAAAGGAGCTCGCTGAGCAGAGGAAATAGGAAAGAAATGTGACAGCTCAGGAACAATAGGAGCTAAGGAATGGAGGTACAAGGGTGGTTTATCTGGAAAATGCTGTCTGTGTCTAGACCCAAAGAAAAGAATTTGGGAAGAACTGACTGGAAAGCAGGACAGGGCTAACCTATGAAGGGAGAAAGTTGTAAACTCTGTTTTATAGGTGGCAGGGAGACACTGGCAATTCTTAGATGGGTAAGAAAGTCAAATGATATTTTATTTATTTATTTTTAAATTTTTTTTAATTATTATTATTTTTTTAATAGAGGCATGTTTTATTTATTTATTTATTTGTTTGTGTTTGTTTTGTTTATACATGCACTGGGTACAGTCAGAAGCACGGGAGGGTGAGAGAATTCACCAGAGCCAGAGCGGGGAGCAGAGCAGGCAGAAGGACCGAAGTACACTGCTGAGGGGAGCAGCGGGCGGCAGGAGAGGTCTGCGCGCCATGCGGGACCCTCCTCCAGTGGCCGGGGAGCAGCCGGGGATCGAATCGGCGCCGCAGAGGCCGCGGGCAGCTTCGCAACCCAGCGCTCAACCGCTGCGCCACCGGGGAGGCCCTCAAATGATATTTTAGATGTTGGTGTCCAGGTGGAAGCCAGTCAGGTGTTGGAGAGTGGTTGCTGGTAAGGAAACTGGTTTGCGTCCACTACGAGAGCTCTGTCACTTCTGAGGATGGGGACAGAGGCAGGAAACACTTCATAGGTAGAATATACTAGTGCTGGGAATCAGTTGGCCACAGAGGCCAGGAATCCTTGAAAATTCAAATGCTCTGCCACTCTGGTCTACAGTGTTCATGTGTTCTCAGTTTGCAGCTCTGTCACTGAAGAATGGGGCCTCAGAAGCCCCCAGAACCCTGCAGATACTACAGGCCCTAGGGGAATAGCAAGGGGTGCCCTGTAAGCACAGCATACTGCATATCTCGGGTGTGGCAAAGACATGTCACTGATTATTCTTAGTTAAAACACAAACATCTGGTCTCCAGTTATTTCTCTTACCTTTAGACTTTAAATTGGCAGTCAGTTTCTTTTTGTTTTCATGCCTGTAAAATAAAGAAACAGACTAAGTCCAATATATATTTTACAATGAGTGTATATGAGGAAAGAGACCTGGGTTAGTCACTGAAAGGCCAGGAAATTTATACTTACTCCCTAAATTTTAGCAGCATAAAGAAAATGTAAGAACACTGTGGCCAGAGGTATTTGCTTAATCTTTGGTGGGGGTCTCCCTACTGAGACAGCATTACCATAATCCTTGAGTTTCTAAATCAGACCCAGCCCTGCCCTCAGCGTAACATATGGCATGGCTGGACTGTGAGGGCATAGCAGTGAGGCAGAAGACCAAATTTAAAGATTTATTTATTTATGCATACAAGAACTGGGGTATAAGCCAGAGGTGTGGGGGTGAGAGGAGTCACCAGAGACAGAGAGGGGAGAAGCACAGGCAGATTAACTGAAATACACTGCTGAGGGGAGCAGCGGGAGAGACAGGAGAGGTCTGCTGTGCCATGTGGGGTAGCTCCTTGGCCAGGGATCAAACTCATGTTGCAGTGGCTGGAGATAGCTTGACAGTGCTGTGTCTTTAACCCCTGCACCACCAGGGAGGCCTGGAGGACCAAATTTAGACAAGCTACAGGTGAAATACCTAAAGCAGAGAATTTAAGAAGGTAGAATGCAAAAAGAAGTTGATAAGGTAGTTAAAATAGCAACTGTAGTCAAGCCAGTGATACCAATACTTAATGATTTAACCAAGAAGCTCAAAATTAACTCAGTTTTTGTACTTAAAAATATTAATATGCAGTAAAAGAATAAAGCTAATACCCTGGGCACCAAGTGTAGATTTTTGGGTACCACTCACAGACACTGAAATTTAAAATTCATAATTTCATGTGTCACGCAACACTATTCTTTGTATATCTTCCAGCCTTTTAAAAACACACAAACCACTCTCAACTGCTGGTTTGCACAGAACCAGGCTGGGCTTGGCCCCAGGGCTGTTGTTTGCCAAGCCTGTTACAAAGCATGGCCTTCACACACTGCACAAACAGCAAACCAAAGAACCTGCCTTTCCCTGCATGGTCTTTCACAGATAACTCTTGGAACCTCAAAGAGCAGACTTGGTATTCTTTCCCTGTAAGTATACAACTAGACTTGGTATTCTTTCCCTGTAGTAATTTTGAGAATCTACTTCAAAATTAATCATTTTAAGTAAGACACCATGGATATTTGATTTGATTAAAATGTGACCATATTCTATTGGTCTTATTATAACAGGACAATGATCTCTGCAGAACTTCCCAGGAGATTTGGTTTTCTTTTCTCCCGGATGTACAGTGAACACCATAGTCTCACCAGGGAGATGCTCAATTGCAAACATTTTGCCATTCCTGCTTTATCTCATATTTTCTTTGTCTACCCATTAAGTTGTCTTATTTCTTGGTGCATTTAGGCAGTTGTTGATAAAGTCTCCTGTTATTGACAAACCAGATCAGTACAATTCTGATTGGGGTTGCTTTTGTTCTCATCCTTGCAAATTTTTAGATGTTATAGACAGCCAGGGTCTTATCAGAGGAGTTACATTCTAAGCATGTAGCAGAGTGAACACCCTATGTACGCCAACATGATGACCCCAGAGCACTAAAGGAACAGTGGGAATTATGCGTGTCAGTTGTTCATCTTATATGAGCAAAGGCTAATGTAGCTAGAAACAAAACATAAATACAAAATTAAATGGGAAGAACTTTTGCAAGTGTGGAAGCAGCAAGTGGCCACAAAAATGATACGTGGAAATATTAATTAGAGCAGAGCATTTTACAGATTAACAGTTCAGTGTCTTTACTGTATGGGTAGTAGAGCCTAGAGTGGCTGATTGTCCCAAGACACACAGCCAGTGGCAGAGGGGAGGCAGCAGAAGTGAAACAAAATGCTCTTCCAGACACACTGATACAAAATGCAAAGAGCTGTCTCTACCAGGCCTTGTGAGAAGCAGTAAAACAGCAGGGCAGGGGAAACTTGGATCTCAAGACAACTGGTCCCTGTCAAGACAGTGTTAGCTCCAGGGACAGAGAGACTTTACCCCCTTGCTCAACTCTTCCCATTATATGGCCCTGAGTAATTTCTTTACCTCTCTAAGCATCTGTTTTCTTGTCTGTAAAATGGGTCGACACCCCTTCCCTCAAGTGTTTTAAGCTCAGAGGAAATCCTGCTTGAGGTTGTACACTGCAAGTTACAGGAAGCCCAGCCAGGGTATTGGGATGAATAAGGGCACATGCTTGGTTAGGTGACATGTGATCGTGGGTTCTAAGGAGCGATGATAACTACTCAGTGACGAGGACCAGGATAGGTACAGATAGAGAGGACACAGGCCTGACATGCATGGAGTTCCCTCCTTGAGGAGGCTGATGGGCAGGAACACTCAAGGAAACTGCATCCCCAAGACCTTCCACAGGCAGGGGGCAGAACATCTTGTCTGCAGTGTTTCTTTCATTCACTCATTTCTTTTCTTACCCATTCCTTCAGCATATACCTTAGAGGTAACACTATAAAGCATCAGGCTCTGCTGGGGCTGCAACAACTAGCAAGAAAAGCTTGCTTTCTCTTCCTGGGGCTCTCAGGCTCCAGCAGGGAGACAGACAGCAAAACAGCTGTGCCACAGGTCAGAAAGACACTTGTGGAGTGGGCTGGGAATTGACAGCAATGGAACTGGGCATAACATCTTACAGCCCTTATATGTCAAAGGTCCACAGACCCTCGTCAAGTTCATGACCAGGAGCAAGACACCCTTTCACCAGCAGACAGGATGGGAAGGACCCCCCTGAGACACTGTAAGCGTGCCTGCCAGGGCCTGACTTTCTACAAATGAATGCAGAATGCACGAGCAGACCGTGAGAGACTCTTTGAAAATATATATATGCATGTGCCTCCCTGTCCAATACACTCATGCAGAGGACTTTATGGAAAACAGGATTCTCTGCAGGTCAAGTATGCCATGCCAATAGAGAAGGAAGGTCACTCGTGCAACTGATTTTTATAAAGAAAAATGCCTGAGGGTCTCCCCGGTGGCGCAGCGGTTGAGCACTGGGTTGCGAAGCTGCCCACAGCCTCTGCAGCGCTGGTTCGATCCCCAGCCGCCAGGCGAGGGTCCCACATGGCGCGCAGACCTCTCCTGCCACCTGCTGCTCTCCTTAGCAGTGTATTTCGTCAGTCTGCCTGCTCTGCTCTCCCCTCTGGCTCTGGTGAATTCTCTCACCCTCCCACGCTTCTGACTGTACCCAGTGCTTGTATAAATAAATAAATAAATAAATAAATAAATAAATAAATAAATAAATAAATAAATGAATGAATAAATAAGAAAAATGCCTGAGTGGTACAGCTGTGGATTGATGGCTCCTCACCCAGAAAGCCCAATGGTTACTGAACACTGGACATGGAGAAAAGCCCCCCACCAGACCACAGGGAGGAGTTCACAGTAGGGAGGGGGTACCTGTAAATAATGTCCACCCCTGTGCTATAGATGATAGATATAGCCACAGACCATCGAAGGGTTATCTTGTATGGCCAGGTTCTCTGGTTAGGAAATGTTTAGAAAGTTAAGAGATAAGCTTTGACAATCTGGTAGGCATAAGGCAGGTGAAAGACGGGGTAAGAAGTATTCCAGTCAAACAACAGGAATAAGAGCCAGGGCACATGACATCACATTGTATGAGGGCATGACATACATGGCTATGCAGTGAGCACAGGGATGTGGGGAGCAGGCTGAAAGGCACTGCAGAGTGTAGGCCTTGCAGTACCTTAAGGCAGGTGACACAACAGGATCTCAAAAGAGTCTCACAGCTGCAGAGGTGAAATAGTTGTTGGGTTGCAGATACTCATGGCACTTGGAGAGGAATTATTTGGAAACAAGTAGACCTGAAGTTAGTAACACATTGACTTTTCAATTTCATAGTCAATTTCCATAGCTCATTAACACAAATACCCAGGTTACTGTGATTTTGAGGCCATGTCAGTTGAGTTTGGCAATGAGACTCTGAGGGTCCTCCGAAGAACATGGTCTATGGTGTTGGGGACAGTGGGGAAGCGTTCCCAGAGAGACATATCTTTCCAGTTCTATGGTATTATTATAAGCCTTAAAAATAATGAGCTTAGGAGAAGCTGTGGTCTCAACTAAATTCTGTAATTTCTAATGATTTTTGACTGCTAGCTAAAAATCAGTAGTAAAATGTCTCATGCAGCATCTTCAACTAGAATTTTTCTCAAAACATACATATGTATTTCTGGGAAAAAGAAGGCAAAATCAATCCAGAAGTTAAAAATCCAATGAATGTGTGAACAAATTTCTGAATACACTGATTTTAAGTTTTAAAGGCAGACCAGTCTTTTAATTTGACAAAGTCTGAGCGCCCCCTGATGGTTAATTAGGGGCTCTGCAGCCCATGATATTTTTTAGTTTCCTAAGATCAACTTAACTCCTTCCCTGCAACTAATTAAGCAAATGATTGTTCTTTCGTGCTGTCTAGAAAAAATAAAGTATTTGAGCTTACAATGAGAAACAGTGAATATTTAGGAAGCTGCTAACTCAACAGAATTTAAGGAGAGTACAGATTTTCTAAGGCAGAGAAAGATGGGTGTTTTTTTAATGAGAACCTAAAAATTTCCAGGAAAATCTTATTTTTATCTCACTGGACTATTGGTTTCTTGGGGAAATTGCACAGTGACTAGGCAAGGAGAGACGCCACAGCCCCCACCTGAGCATCAGTTGTAGCCTGGCGCCCTCCGCTGTCCATTCCCATGGCTGCAGAGAGGACACAATGCCACCCACAGCGGCCTCGCCAGGGTGCGATGGCTGGGTGACTTCTGTTACCTTTCCCCTGAGCAATTATGTCGCAAGCACACATCCTTTTCTTTTGGCAAAATGTTATCTCCATCCTAGCAGTAAACTGAAGTTACACTGCAGGCTGTTAAAATATACTCTCCATTGAATAAATGATCCTGGAGAGTGGAAACAGCTTCCTGGGGAAGGTAAAGGAGACAATGTTTGCAGAGGAGAGGAAGCTGTGGCATGCACCCCCGAACAAAAGGGAACAAGTGGTCTTTACTCGGAGAACGGCTTCGCATTAGGACTCACTCCTTCATACATTATGCCTTTCATCCCCACTCAACCACAAAATGATTTTGCTGAAGCAAATACAATGGTAGAAAAAGATTTACACTGAAAGAATCTTTAATAATAAACTGTTGCCGATCTGCCTACTTGCCCGTGATTTATAATACAATAAACATCGGATTCTATTACCACTCATACACTGAAAAACAGAATATATGAAAGCACCCGAACCCTACCACCATCACAATGAAATGAGCAAGTATAAATGTGCTAAGAGTATCTCTTTGCATCTTTTATAGCTTGTGTGTATTAATCTGTAACGCTTATTAAGAAAGTCATTGCTATGCAAAGCAGCACCCAATCCCTTTCTCTGGCTTTTCAACAGAGTGCACTGTTTAGCCAATAGGACGGACCCTCTGGCCCTCATTCTGCATTCATCACAGGCAACATTTGCACAATGTATCTCTCAAAGGCGGCTGAAAAGAAGGCCTTAATACTCATGTAAACAACTGCAAACCAATTACTTAATGAATCAGGCCCACACATAATGAGGTGCAGACAAAGAGCTATAAATGCATTTTTGCGCCCAAGCCGCTGCTTTAAAGTAAAATCCCTCAGCTGTAGTTTGGGCTTAACTAGCACATCATAATTATTGTCTCTAGGACATCAGAGGAAGCCATTTTTTTTTTTAGGTCCAGAAGGATCTTTTTTTTTTTTTTTTTTTTTTTTTTGAGGTTGCTCATCAGCTCACTGACAAAACAGAGCAAAGAAGAATTTTTAAAAGTGCTACAGCAGCACTGCACTGTTATGTTTATTCTCAAGTACTGGGTTTCGAGACCACTTGTAAAAGCAATAAAGCACGAGGAGTGACTGCAGTAAGTGGGATCCTTAAATGTAAGCCTCTAAGAAATTTCAGTGAATCCAGGCACAAACAGCAAAACCAGAGCTCTCCAAAGTCCAGGGTGGCGTATTAACAACACCAAACCCAGCACAAGAACCAAACCGTGACAAACAGCACGCCAAACCCACACACTCGACACCCAGACCTTTTCAGCACTGGATTATTATCAAGTGTCTAGAACCAATGGTTTCTTGAAGACCTGGGTTTTTTTTTTTTTTTTTCCCTTAAAGGGGGTGATGAGGTTTCTTGTAATTTATTTAGAAAATTAATTTCATATGGGAACAAGAGTAATAAAAGGCTCCCCTGCCTCAAATTGAAGGAGAAATTTTTTATTTTAATTTAGTAAGATATGGATGAAAGACATGAAATTATCAGGCTGAGAAAACGTTCCATATAATCCAATGACCTTCTGAATGTACTTAAAAATTGACTTAAGAGAATATTGTGTGTGTGCACAAAAGTTTAAGAAGATTGGGCTTTTTAAATGCCTCTTAAATATAATGGAAACAAGCACTTCTAATGTTTAAAAACTAAAGGGATGTATTACTAAGCAACATGGTCACACTAAGCCCTGAAAACTACCAGTTGGATAGATGGTCTCTTAAAATTTCTTTTAGAAGACCTAAAACTTGAATTTATACTCTAATTATAAAACAATCATACTCTTAAACTTTTTTTATCCCATAATTCATTATCTCCCATTTCATTGAAAAACAGGGATGAAAACCCAGGGATTAAAGATATTAATTTCTAAATATTAAATAATTCCCTAAAAGTTAATTTGTCAGTTTTCAAAAAGAAAGAATTTTAGAAAACCCCATTTTAATACTGAATTCCAGGTCTTAAAATTATCGTGAGGTTTTCCAAAATATATATGAAAATGGAATTTTTTGATTTACAAAAATATTACATTTCTACATCAAATCATTTTGTTTTGTAGGACATTATATGTTAGAAATGTAGAGTTTCCTGTTTAAAATTTCATCAGGGCAAGCAGTTAATTTATATGTAATGCAATCATCTAAAGGACATCTTTTAAATGAGAAATATTATAAAAAAGACACTTTTGTGTTGTTTTAAATGCAGTTAGCCTAAAATAAAGGCTAAAATAAAGGTAGATATTTAATCAGATCACTGCTTCTATTCCAATCTGTATATTTCTAAGTGACTAAATGCCACTGCATAATTAGTATTTTATGTTGATGACAAATATAGCATACAACTCACTTATTATTGCTTGGAAAAACTTGCAAGAAGTGCTACTGTTTAACAAATGTGAAAAGATAAATTTTGTTCTTTATGGAAAATAAGCAAAAAAGTATGAGAAAAGATAAGCATCAACAGGCCCAAATACTTGGTAAAAAGGGGGAATATGAAAACAAATATCCAGCAATTGCTAGTATATATATCAGCCCTCTCAGAAAGAAAAAACAGGCCACCTTATTTCTTTTAGGGCCTGATGTTTTCTCTCTGCCCTTTTCCGACACCCTCCATTGTGTGGTCTCTAAGCAGCCCTACTGAGAGCAGCTGTAGACGCTAATTTGTGGTTCACTGAGGTGTCAATTGAGTCTTACACCAAGGAAACAACAGCTGCAAAACAATACTTGGCTCTGGTGCAAATATTTTCAAAGGTAGACTAAAGATTCAACTGTTATTTTAGATAAACAAAAACCCAAACCATAACCTTCCATCAAGTCACACAAAATAATCTGTGGCCAGAGCTGAATTCATTGCATAGTGACATTTCTTATCTTGTTGTCACTATTTAGAAAGGCTTCCACAACTTTACCTTGACAAAGGACTTCCTTCACTAGATGAAAAACTAGTTTCCGAAGTGATTTTGTTAGTTGTCTTTGTCTTGGATGTACCGCTGCCAATATTCAAACCTGTGATAAGTGCAAACACAGAGTGAGCATTAGCTGTCACACAGCAATAAAATGTCATGAATGAAGAAGCGGCCTCACAATAACTTTGGCAAAACAAACATCAACACATAAAGATGCTGTTCAAGCCAAAGAAGGCAAGGGAGCTTCTGAGGCAAGGACAAGTATGTTGGTAGAAAAATGGAAGGAGTAGGGGGCAGGTCTCCTGTGATACTTATAGAGAAAACACAAAAAGTAAAAAATAAAATCAAAGAACTATTTTAAATGACCAAGATGCACTTGTGGGCACATGGGTCTGTACTATGGCACTAAGCACTGGATAATTCACATTATTATAAGACACAGGCAATGACAGATTACTAAGAGAGTGGATATTGGGAACCAGGTTTCAGAAATAACTGACACTCCTGGATGACTGTTAGCCAGCCACCCACCCATCTTTAAGTTCTCTGCCAAATCCTTCCATTTTTCTACCTTCTAAAGGAGAATGAATCTCCACTGAAAAACCCTCAAGGCCACTCTTCAACCATTCTGAAAAGGCTGAAGGGGAAAATGCACAATCCACTTCTTTCCCTGGAGCTGGGGAACTGACTATGCCCTCAGTACTCCCAGCCTGCAGGGCAATCCCTGCCCTCTGTCTCCTGGGTGTCATCGACCTTGGGTGTTTTTGCTACAAGCTGTTTTTTAACTTGTTGAATAGTGACAAGAAGTCACTCGAGATCATAGACAGAGTGCCTGGGCATCTCTGCAAAAGGCATTTGCTGAGTTTCTAACCTGTAACCTGCTTGCCTTGCAATTAACCTCCACAGCAAAGCAATCTCTTGACAGTGTGTCCAACCCAAAGAGGGTCTCCATGTGCTGAACAGGACCAGGCCTTTTTCACACATGAAAATGAAGGCACAGGTTTAAGTGACTGGTCTATAGACAGAGACGGAAGATATCTGACACATAAAGGAACTGAAACATGAACTGCTTCTTCCATAGTTAGATTTGGGGGTGACTCCTGAGTTCAGAGCTCGCATTGCCATTAACAGTGATGTAAGTTTAACATGGGGTACGTGACATCCTGTCCCTTCTGCCTTGCCGGTCCACTTCCTGCTTTGCTTTGGAGCTCAAAAAAAGTCCTAGGATCAGAGTGAGAGTAAGAGTGAAAAAGTAATGTGTGACCACATTAAAATAAATACCAGAGGGATCTAATTACAATGACAGTCAAGACCAGCAGAAGCACTCCTATGATCTCAGTATAGTGTAAGTCTGAGTGTAGAGTGAGGGGATGGAATCTATGGGTGCTTAACAGCAGAACCTATAAAGTCTCACATTAATTATGAATAAATTAATAGACGAATATGTAAATTATTAGTATATTAATAGTTCCATAATTTTGGATACACATAAAGGGGACAAATTTACTCACCCTTTGAAGTTGTACAATTAACTATCCAGAATATACTTACCAAACCAGATTTATGGAGTCACCTTCCAAACTGTATGCTAACCAGCTGTGATGCTCTGAGAGAAGCGTTATTCTCTTGGGGCCTCATTTGTAAAAAGAGAGGATAGATAACTAAGACATCTCTGAATGCTAACTCTGTGACTCAAATGTGAAGTCAGTGATGAAGAATAGTTAAGGGCTCACAAGTGCCGTGTCTTTCCCAAAGTGATGAAGACTGCTAGCAGGACAGAGGCCCTGTTTTCTACTTCACAAAGTATAACACCTTGTATTTCTGGAGATAAATCACTATCACCACCACAGCCAGCCCTCTCTAAGCACTTTTCTCTAACAGGCACTGTGCTGGGTATTTAACCTTCTGTGACTCACTGAGGCCTCTAAACAACCAAAATAACTGAATTGGGTAGCAACTGATCTCAATATTATCTAGAAAATGGTTCTTCAAAGACAGACCAGCTAAGTGCGATGCACTGGCTGCCACCTTGGGCAACCTGGACACTGCCTTCCAGTGTTGAATCTGCCTTGCTTACCTGACAGTTGTGATGCAGAAGCATCCCCCTTGTGGAATCTGTCTTCAGCTGGATTTGTATTATCCTGAAGAGTAGACTGCTTCAGCAACTGGTAGGCTTTTGTTTCTACAGATTACAAAACAGCATTGGTAACTGGATAGTCACATGCAAAAGAATGAAGATGGACCCTTATCTTATGCTATATAAAAACATCTACCGAAAATAGATTAAAATGTAAAACTATTAAATTCCTACAAGAAAACAGAATAAAGTCATCAAGATACTGGGTTTGGCAATGATTTCTTAGATATGACATCAAAAGTATAATCAACAAAATAAAAAATAGATGATTGGAACTACATCAAACAATGACAGAAAATAATTGATATCATATACTTGATAGGGAATAAATATCTAAAATATATAAGGAGTTTCTACAACCTGTCAACATCAAAATAATCTGATTAAAAAATGGGCAAAAAACTTGAATAGACGTTTCTCCAAAAAAGATAAATAACTGTAATAAACACATAAAAAGAGGTCAAAATTACCATTCATTAGAGAAATGTAAATCAAAACCACAATGAGATACCGCCTCATACCCATAAGGATGGCCACTATCAAAAGAACAGAAAATAACTAGTGTTGGCAAGGATATAGATATTTTGGAATGCTTATGCACTGCTGGTGGGAATATGAAATGGTCAGCATAGAAAATGGTATGGTGCTTCCTCCATACTTAAAAATACCATATAAAATTATAAACAAAATACAAACTACCACACCATATATAAACACACACACATATATACACATATAAATTGAAAACAGGATTTTGTAGAAATACTGGTACACTGGCATTCATTACAGCATTATCTGCAATAGCCAAGAGATAGAAGAAACCTGAATTTCCATCAATAGTTGAATGGATAAATAAAATGTGGTACATACACACAATGGAATACTATACAGCTTTAAAAAGGAACTCCTGTCACATACTACAGCATAGATGAACCCTGAGGACATTATGCTAAGGGATATGTCAGTCACAGAAAATAATGTATGATTCCACTCACATGAAAAACTGAAAGTCAGTCAAAATCATAGAAAAAGAAAAGTGGAAAGGCTAATAGCAGGGAAGAATGAAGAAAGGGCACTATGATTTATTTGGTATAGTGTTCTAAAGATCTGTTGTATAACAATGTGAATATACTTAACACTATTGAATTAAACACTTAAAAATGGTTAAGATGGTAAATTAAAAGCATGTATTTTTTTAAAACTACAATTTAAAAAAAAAAAGGAGAGTGACCAGACATCCCAATTTGTTTATGACAAATTTCTCTTTACTTCAGACCTTGCAGAAGCCACTACAGGACTAAATCAAAAGAGACAGACTTAATCAAAAGAGACAGATTTCTCGATCTATCACATGGTCACTCTGGAACACTCCCTGCTTTGGCTGAGGCTCAGGTTCTTATATTTCAGTGTGGGGACTCTGGCTAAGTGGGCAGCCAGGAGGGTGAGGAAGGTAAGTAGCAGCAGGATGAACTTAGAGACCCACTGCTGAGAAAACTGAACTGAAGCTTCTTATGGGGACTGTAAAAGAGCGTCTGTAAGGAGCAAAGCCAAATGCCCCAGAGGGATGAACAGCAGCTTGGGCCTGGCTAGAGCCCACAGGATGCCTTTGGCTCTGCAGGGCTTTTGTTTACAGAAAGTTAAAGTGGGGAAGATTGTTGGAAAAAAACAGTAAGATCACATAAAGGGCCCAAGTGATACAACCTTTCCCATTATCTCAAGTCTCAAGGATACCTGGATGGGATAGAGGATGGAGAATTAGAGCTTTAGCACAGACCTAACAAAATAGCATGGATACCCACATTTTCAAAGTGGCCACAAATAAAAGGATTCCTGCTGTCAGTATCAGGAACTGGCAATCAAGTTGCATTCCTGCTTTTGCTGACTCAATTGAAGAACTTAACCAGGAGTCCCTTATTATGGGATTAAACTACTATTACCTTAAGAATAAAAACGAAACTTGTTTTGCCCTTTTGAGAATCAATCAAGATAAAAAAGTATTTAAAACAACCATCATATTTAGGAATTAAATGCTATATAATTAAAATACATACCTATTAGGGACTCTTAACTTTGAAAATAATAAATCCTAAGGCAAAATTTTAAAAAATTTGCTGGTGCATTGGAACCAGTATTTTAAAAAACTATTAGGAAAACACCAGGTGTAGTGCATGCAGAAGGAGAAAGCCACATTTGCATGTATGTTGACCTGAAATAGAAAGGGTTTCTTGTAGGTTGGTCCCTAATATCCTAGAGTCCCAATGGATGTCACAATAACATTCTCCAACTAATCTTAATGTCCATATTACTTCAGATTTGTAAGGTAATTTTGGGTGGGGGAGTTATTAATAAAATCAAAGACAGAGCATGTGAATTTTTAAAAGGTAAAAATGCTCTGCTGTTTTGTTTTTCTTTTAACAAGATCAACCAAAAAGTTTTCTATCATTTAGGATACAAATTCAGATAAAAACAACCACATGCTATTTCTGTATTCAATTAAATGTTATCTGGTCAAGGAAAAGCATTTTCTTTAAAGTGAAGGAAAGAAAAGGTAGCTTCTTGATAAACAACAACTCTTGTTGGTTGGAACCTGGATTTGGGGGTTCTGGATTTGGGGGCCCATCTGTTGTTTTAAGATAAATCATTTCATTGTGGGACAGCAAGCACTGAGGGTCCTTGGTGCCTTACAAAAAAAGAATTTCAGGAAGCAACAATAATAAAGCAAGTGACAAGCGTTTATCTGAGAGTGAAAAGTACAAGATACCACAGCAGGTCCTCTCTGAAAACTTGAGGTGTGCCCACAGACTCTAGAGTAGCTGGACTTCGACGCTTCTTTTTGTCTCGGGTTGGGTGGGGTCCCTGATGATTATGCTTACCTTGTTCCCATCATTCCTCTCAATCCCTAGATTTGAACTCACCCCCTCCCTTTCTCTTTTTGGGTGGAGAGAGAGAGAGAGAGAGAGAGAGAGAGAGAGAGAGAGAGAGAGAGAGAGAGAGAGAGAGAGAGAGAGAGAGAGAGAGAGAGAGAGAGAGAGAGAGAGAGAATGAGAGAGAGAGAGAGAATGAGAGCGCCATAATGGAGATGGAAGTTTTTTAATGCTGAATGTCAAAACCACAAGATTTGTTGCGTAGTTAGTTGTTGTTAAAAAAAAAAAAAAAAAGGCTGTGAAAAGGATAACTGTGCCAACCTGCAATAATTGTTTTTCTTAGCAATAGACCAGGGCTACTTGATGGGATAAATGCAGATGCTTCCTGGGCTCCCAGACCTGTCAGTTTATCTTGAAGTGAGATGATAGTGCCAGCCAGAATGTGGGAATGAAGGACTGTGGGAGTACTCCTCTGGGGGAGTGTGTTAAAAGGGGTCTCCTCTCTATCCCTAACAATTTGACTGTGAAACTAGGGGGTGAAATGTGCTGATTTTCAGGAACGGATTTTTCTGAAAAATATCAAGCTAGAAGTTGTGAAGTAATTTATGATTGGGGGGGATTAAGAATCCTGTACAAATATAAGACAGTACTGATTACTACTGGTCTGAGTATAACAGAGGAAGAATGTGAAGAGAATTCATTCTTAGCAGTACCATGGGAGTACTCTCATCACCATTTTACTGTGGGAAAAGACAGTCTATTTCCATGTTCCACACACTTTCCATTCTGGTCTCCTCCCTTTCTTCTTGAAGGACTTGGACTCTAGCTGAATGGTGGGCTTTCAAGGCTGTCCTGAGTCTCTTTCAACTGTACAACAGTTTTGAAGGGACATATATTATCTTCCTTGTCTTATTCAACCAGAACCCATGGTATCTTACTGGCATTTTATCTTTAATCCTTCTGTGGCCCTTTTCTTAAGGGAGAGTTGCTGAAATTCACCTGGACAATTTTTGTCTGGGATGAGGCTGCCCAGACTTGAATAACAAAGGACTGGTGAACTCAAGTTGACTGTTGTTGGACACATGGCTTTTCCTGGGCCCTGATATATGCTTCCTACAACGGGCATAGTAAAGTCTCAAAGGCAAAAGGATTAAGTGCATTCACTTGCAGGAATAAACACTGATATAGGACTGAGACACCAAACCAGCCAGAGTAGTTAGAACAGATGGCAGGAGCTGCTTGTCTAACCCCAGGAGATCTGTGTTGGAGATCTGATGCTGACAACTGGGAACATCTCCCATAGCATATATCATACTCTTATTCACCCTTCTTTTGGTCAGAAGAGCTGCACAAAGCAATATATGGAGACCTGGAGAAGACCCAAAGAATAAAAAAATTAAGGATTAAAAGACAAAATCATGAAAGGTTACAGGCTGCACTCTTGCATAAAAACAGGGGAAGAAGGGCTCAAGTACATAGATGCTACAAATAGACTAGAAGAACAAGAATGTAAATGCAGGCACTTTCTGGGTCCAAGCAGGGGCCCACATACAGCTGGTTGGGTGGGAGCAGTGGAAGGGGCTCCAAGTGGCAGGCTGGAGAACAAATGCCTTCCCTAGAGGGGACAGCTGTTTTCCTAGATACAGCCAATGGCTGCATGGCAGGAAAGTGGACCTAGTCTACCTTAAAAAGCAACAGAGTCAGGGCCTCCCTGGTGGCCTAAGGGTTAAGTCTCAACACTACCACAATGGCCTGAGTTCGATCCCTGGCCAGGGAGCTAATCCACATGGCACAGCAAACCTCTCCTGTCTCTCACTGCTCCCCTTAGCAGTATATTTACTGTGTATTTCAGTAGATCTGCTTGTTCTGCTCTCCAATCTGTCTCTGGTGAATTCCTTCACCCACCACTGGCCCCCCGCCCCCCACCACTGGCCTACAAAGAAGAACCCAGTTCTTCTATGCAAAATAAATAAAATCTTAAAAAAAAAATCCCAACAGGGCCTCCTTGGTGGCACAAAGGGTTAAGCACAGCACTGTGAAGTGATCCACAGCCTTTGCAGCATGAGTTCGATCCCTGGCCAGCCAGGTAGCTACCCACATGGCGCAGCCGACCTCTCTTGTCTTGCCCACTGCTCCCCTTAGCAGTGTATATGAGTAGATCTGCCTGTTCTGTTCCCCACT